TAATGGTGATACCTAGAGCTAAACATCTAAACCAGGCGTCCCCAAACTTTTTACACAGGGGACCAGTTCACTGTCCCTCAGACCATTGGAGGGCTGCCACATACTGTGCTCCTCTCACTGACCACCAACGAAAGAGGTGCCCCTTCCTGAAGTGCGGCGGGGGCCGAATAAATGGCCTCAGGGGCCCGCGGGCCGGCTGTAGTTTGGGGAAGCCTGATCTAAACATTTGAATAGCCTTTGCATGTTTAGGATGGAGTTAGTTAACCAGATTTTCCTAAGGCAAATTTATTTTAAAGAGTAACTTAAAGGTTAAAGGTGGGGAGAGCAATGCCAGAGGGGTTAGAGGGAGGGTCATGATAGTATGGATAAATAGTATAAAAACTCAGAGATAAAATGAAAAAGATAAAACAAAAATAAAATTATTGAATGGGAACAGCTTAATAGTAGTATTTAAAAATACTGCTATTCCTACAGAAATGCAGCCTGTATAAATTTCTAAATAGCCTCTAACCAGAAGAAACCCATACTTTTTTTTTTTCTTTTAAGTTCTGGGATACATGTGCAGAATGTGCAGGTTTGTTACATAGGTATACACGTGTCATGGTGGTTGGCTGCACCCATCACCCCATCATCTACATTAAATATTTCTCCTAATGTTTTCCCTCCCCTAACCTCCCACTCCCCGACAGGCCCTTATGTATGATGTTCCCCTCCCTGTGTCCCTGTGTCCTTATTGTTCAACTCCCACTTATGAGTGAAAATACGCAGTTTGGTTTTCTGTTCCTGTGTTAGTTTGCTGAGAATGATGGTTTCTAGTTTCATCCATATCCCTGCAAAAGACATGAACTCATCCTTTTTTATGGTGGCATAGTATTCCATGGTGTATATATGTGTCGTTTTCTTTATTTCAGTCTACCATTCATGGACATTTTGTTTGTTCCAAGTCTTTGCTGTTGTGAATAGTGCTGCAATAAACATATGTATGCATGTGTCTTTATAGTAGAATGATTTGTAATCCTTTGGGTATATGCCCAGTAATGGGATTGCAGGGTCAAATGGTATTTCTGGTTCTAGATCCTCAAGGAATTGCCACACTGTCTTCCACAATGGTTGAACATTAGTTCAACCCACCAACAGTGTAAAAGTGTTCCTATTTCTTTACATCCTTTCCAGCATCTGTTGAGAAACCCATGCTTAAAAAATAATAATAAGATTAAGACTTTTGATTGCCAGTTAAGGTCTTGGTTCGTTAATAATGACTTTATGACCAAAAAAAAAGTGACATGGATATCTTTGAAATGTCTTAATGTGTTGGCCTTCAGATTTGCTATTAGCAAGGAAATTATAGTACAGTCTTGGTTGAACTGCTTTGGAAATTCTTATAACTCACTTCCTCGGAAGTATCAAATGATTGTATTGCATTTAGATTCATTCCCTTTCAAAAGCTGCTTAGGAAACAAATTAGTGCTCAGAGTTGTTTACACTTGTAAATGCAATTAAAATTGAAAAGTCAGTTGGGAAACTCACTGGGATCTCTTGATAATAGCAGTGGTTGTTTCTGCTATAATAATTTGAACTGGTGAGGTAAAAAAAAAAAAAATCACTTCAGGAGTTTATAAAATGATATGTGTGTTACCAATGCACATTAGGTGAACTATTCACATTATTTTCTAGATTAAAAAGTAATTTTTTTCAAGTATATGAGGTAATCAGTATATTATATTCTTTGAAGTTTTTGTTTCCTCTGTTACTGCCACACGGGATATTTTTTAATATGCTTATAAAACAGATGTTTCCAATTGAACTTTAAAAACTAGTCAAGTTTTTAAATTTTAGTATAACTGACATAACTAAAGAAATTAGAGGTACGTATCTAAATGATGAGCTACAGTTAACATAAAACAGTCTTCTAGTATATGTTCTGTTTGTAAATTTCTATTTTAAAAATATGTATAATCAAGTAGAAATTCATGATTTTCTTTGGCAGACTGATGCCACAGGAATGCCATTTCTGTATCAGTGCCACTGATAAGTTCTTTATACTAATAGCCCATTTGACTAAATATAGGAGTAACTTCACTGAAAGATGCCTTTAATTACCCAGCCTGGCAGAACTGCACATTCTGGTTCCCTTGCTAGGAGAGAGACCTTGTAAGGGACCTTGAGTGATAATTGGTTTGTTTTTGCTATTTTAAAATATAATTTTAATTTTCTTTTATGCATTTAACTGCTTTTGAGTACCCACTATGTGCCAGGCATTTTGACATTGAAAATATATATGAGTAAGATAGATACGGTCTGTATTTTTCACAAAAAGTACATTTTGCCAGAAATACAGGCCAGGAAAGAGGCAATTATAAAATCTGGTGTAATAAACTCAGATGTTTGGGTTAGGCAAGGCTTCTTAAGGGAAATGAGAACTAGACAGGAGGGGATGATAATGATGACCCACATTTGTAGTGGGAGTGGTACTGGAGTGAAGCAGAAGGATTTAAGATCTTGTAGGTGCTAGATTTTATGGGGGAGAAATCTGTTAAGATGGTCAGCAAAACATCCAGGATTGCAGGGAGTGAAAAACTTTAAAGGAGCACACTCAGGTTTCTTCCTTGAGTAGTTGGTGATGCATACTTGGTAAGAGGATCAGCTTTGAGTTGTGTCGTGAGAGAGGAAGAGGAGTTAATGTTCAGTAAGGTGAGTTTGGGGAGCCAGTAGGTACATCTAAGTGGAAATTATATTACATGAAACATTAAGAAGAAACAGTGGCTAAAAAACTTTACAAGTCCACGTTATTGTTCGGATAGATATCTATTATACTCACCTGTTGTTGAACCTCTAGAGTACATCAGAGAATTAGCTATTTAACGTAATTACTTTTTCATCTTGTTTTAATATAATTTCTGGAGTTTCTGTATAAATGTTAAAAAGGCTACAAAATTTAACAACAAATATTAATTACTTTCTATAGCCTGGTTCACAACCTTTTTTATATGCTGAAGAATTTCATATAAATTGGAGGAGAAACTTATAAACTACTATATTTATATTCAACTAAATCATTGTTAAATAGAGCTGAGGCAGTGGACTGAGAATGAGACCATTTACTGTTTTGAGGTATTAGCTAACCATCTGTTGGCAACAAGACCAAAAAGAATTTGCAGAGAATAGGGGAGCTCTTTAATAAATGTTACAATTAGTAACAGGCAAGTTTCAGATTTTCTCTGCGTACTGGTGTTTCCCAGAAAAGTAAGCATTGGAATCAAATAGCAGATGCAACCATTTTTCCTTTGGTGTATAATTTGCGATAACTACTGTTTTCGTCTTATTACCTAAAATGTGTAATAATAAAACTTTTAATAAAACAGGGCGAGTTTCCTTTTTATGGCAATTTACCCAGTTTTGAAGATGTATACTCTATTAGCAAGTAAAACTTGGAGAATTACCCTGTACATATTCTAATGTTGCTGGAAATTTGACCTAATCAGATAATAACTGGTAGAAATGTATACATGCTCACAATTGCAGTACAAGGAACAAAGTGATAAATAAAACGTGTATTAAATTCTGTTTAAGCTTCTAGCAATTTTGTGCTAATTGGAAGAATCGAGGCTCAGATATTTGAGTTTACCTCGTAAGAGCAGTTGTTTACATGTGTTTATAATATTAATGTGTTTTAGAGGTGTGTTCACATAGCTTACAGTAACTGTTGAGGGAACTGATAACCAATTTAACACTTGGTTTTGACAGTCTCACCAAGTCCCACCATTGGCTGATGTTATTTTTTTTTAATTATATTCACAAGTATGTTAATACTTGATTTCATACCATTAAAGAGCAAATGCTTCATTATCTTTCTTTTAGCAGACTTTGGAGTTCACGTAATAAAATCACTGTGAGTTCAGTTTTCAAAAGCAAAGGATGAATTACAGAATGTATTTTTTTCTGATGAATCAGCTAAAACTTTTTTTTAAACTAGCTCCTGAGTGGCTCTCCACTTACTCCATTTAAAAAGCTAAGCAGATTTAAACTGTTTAGTTTTGGCAGACATAAATTTTCAGGTCCATATTCCTGATTCACCTTCAATATAAAGGTAGCAGCGTTTGACTTTAATAATATGGTTCGAACTTATAAAAATGTGAATATATTCTATATTTTGAAATGTATTTTATATTTGAAAATGTATTCTGTATTTTTAAAAAATAATTGAGGTTGCGTCTGCATACTTACACTCTTCTAAGTTGGTAGATATGAAAGTAATGTTAATATTTGTTATTTATGGTATATAATGAATATTTGTGAGTTAAGGAATTACTGGCTATTGGATCTTGACAGAATTTACTGCTATATGAAAAATGATTGTGTATAATGCATTTTTTCTAGGAGATAAAATTACAAGGTTTTAGTAAGTATAAAATGGAAACATAAAAAATGTTAGATGCTTTTTCTTAAGAAATCTAAATAGTTTATTGAATGTTTGACTTTCGATAATTTGTAATTTTCTGGTTCTGGTTTATTTTTCTCCAGTAAACATAACTCATAATTTAGGAACATGATTTACTGTGTTTTGGAGGGAAAAAAAACCTTGTTGAGCCTTTCTGTTATTGAACCTTATAATATTGTAGACATTTTTACAAGTGTGTACTTCAGAAGGTTTAATGAAGAAAGCACTATAATGTAAAGGCCAAGAATCTGTAAAGGTAAATTGCTGGGTTCAGTAGTATTTTTTTTATATTGTGTAGTAACATCTCTGGACTAAGATTAAAATTGAATAATTAAGTTCTTAGAAAGGTTCTGCTATTCATAAGAATTTAATAGTACTGAATATAATAAATTGAAGCAGAAATTATTAGGCCACATTGTATATTAATGATATTTTTTTAGCATTTTTCTTCTAATTCACAGACTGTCAAGGATGCTGATTTTACTAAGATTTGTATATTCTTAAAGTGATTTCAAGAAGAAAACACAATTCTTCAAGTCTTCTGTTTCTTTTTCTTCCATAGGAGTACCAAAGTCTAATCTCTTGCACACCAAATCATTAAGGGGCCATAAAGACTGCTTTGAAAAATACCATTTAATTGCAAACCAGGGTTGTCCTCAATCTAAGCTTTCAAAAAGTACTTATGAAGAAGTCAAAACCATTTTGAGTAAGAAGATAAACTGGATTGTACAGTATGCACAAAATAAGGATCTGGATTCAGATTCTGAATGTTCTAAAAACCCCCAGCATCATCTGTTTAATTTCAGGCATAAGCCAGAAGAAAAATTACTTCCACAGTTTGACTCCCAAGTACCAAAATATTCTGCAAAATGGATAGATGGAAGTGCAGGTGGCGTCTCTAACTGTACACAAAGAATTTTGGAGCAGAGGGAAAATACAGACTTTGGACTTGCTATGTTACAAGATTCAGATGCCACTTTATGTCATAACAGTGTATTGTGGCCTCATAGTCGCAACCAGGCACAGAACAAAGAAGAGACAATCTCTATTCCAGAGGCTGATGTCCAGACCCAGCATCCACATTACAGCAGAGAGGAATGTAAGTAAAATAGGGAGAAAAGTAAAAGTTGGGAGGTTTGGGGTTTTTTTACATTTGTATAAATGTATAATGGCTCAAGAATTTTGCTGTGGAATTGTAGATTTGGTAAACATTGTATTTAAATAACAGGTTCACCTTAGCAAAAATGAGATATCTTAAAACTTTCATTCACTGGAATTCTCCTATGTTCTAAGCATTGAAGTTAGGCAGTTTCCATATTTGTTGTGCCATTTAAAATGATTACGCTAAACAGAATCAACAAACTGTGAATTGGAACATCTAGGACTCGTATAGTGTAGAAGTACAGCTTTGTCTGTTGGCTAATACACATTGTCACGTTGCTAATCCCTACAATACTAATTGACTGGTGGTGGCATTTCAAAAGCAAAAATCTGACATTTTACTAAAGGCCAAAGGTAATGTGTGCAGTTATTGTAAAGTTAGAAGGGGTGACTCATTCTGTCTACGTCTGTTTCTACAAAAACTTACAGAAGCTGAGGTGATTTTGTCTTGAAATCATGATTTCAGAGCCAAAAGGAACCTCTGGTATCTTTTTAAGATTGTATATCTAGATAGACAAATTGATTTTTCAGACTGCAGGTTATACACTGTGTAATGCTTAATCAAAATAAGCTTAATGGGTAGTGACTAACACTTTTTTAAAAACTAAAACAGAATAGGAGATAGCAGAATTCACTGGACCGACTACTAAGTATTTTTTGGTGGAACTTTTGTTTCAGTGAAGGGTGGTGGTATACTGGGAGTGATAAAAAAAATATATATATATATATATATATATATGTTTCTGGCCAGACACAGTGGCTCACACCTATAATCCCATCACTTTGGGAGGCCAGTATGGAAGGATCACTTGAGCCCAGGAGTTCAAGACCAGCCTAGACAACATAGTGAGACCCTATCTCTACAAAAAATTTAAAAGTTAGCGAGGTGTGGTGGCACATGCCTATGGTTCCAGCTCCTAGGGAGGCTGAAATGGAAGGAATCACTTGAGCCCAGGAGGTTGAGGCAACTGTGAGCCATTGATTGCACCACTGGATTCTCGCCTGAGTGACAGAGCAAGACCCTGTCTCAAAAAAAAATAAAGATAAAATTTTCTTACCATGGGTTGTGGTCAGGATTTGAAAACTTATAGTCTACGCTTAGGAGAGCTAATGGTTGAATACTGGAGTGCTGCTGAATGTTGTGTTGGAAGTTAAGTGCAAATTTTTAAAACTAGGATATTGTGTTGGTAATGTAAGCAGCGTGTTTTCCTAGGTTGTTGTGATAATAGTGAATACATTTTCATGTTTCAGTGGATTTGATGACTCTTGGTGAGGTAGAGCAACTGAATGCAAAGCTCCTACAGCAAATCCAGGGTAAGAATCACTCTGAATGCTTTTTTGTGTGTGAAAATTTTGACATAGAAAATCACCTATGATAGTGCACCATTGGCTTTATCGACATCTGTTTACAGATTCTAACTGAGAAATATGGCTCAACTATAGTAACAACCGCCATTTTTGCGGTGCATCTCTGTAGTCATTGCTATAACTGAAATTTCACTTGAGGGAGAGAGCCAAATTCCAATTGGCTGTGTAAAGTATACAGAATTCCTAGGATGATCAGAACCAGCATGCTTTGTAGAGAACACAACTATTTCTTTGGTGTCAAATCAGTTTCATTGTGACACTTTGCCCAATGCATAGATTTCAGTTAGAGTTCTTGAAATTTAAATCATAGCATTGGCTTTCTGCATATTAAAAATGAAACTTTTTATATCTTTTACAGAAGTTTTTGAAGAGTTAACACATCAAGTACAAGAAAAAGATTCTTTGGCCTCACAGCTCCATGTCCGCCACGTTGCTATTGAACAGCTTCTGAAGAACTATTCTAAGTTACCATGTCTGCAAGTAGGGCGAACAGGAATGAAGTCACACCTACCCATAAACAACTGACCTAAACAGACCTGCTTCGTATGCCCTAACCTTTATTGGTCTCCCAGACATGCAAACTTTGAAGAAGTTTGAAGAAAGTTGTGGTCCATTTTTTTATGGTCATTAAATTTGCCAAACATGAGGCAGTATTTAACATCTTTGTCAAATAAAGCAGATCATTATACTCTAGTCTTCTAGGGCTAATCATTTTGGCTCATTTGGGGACTCTTTTTCCTGTAATTACTAAACAAATTTTATTACATGTGACTACTTAAATAGACTGTTACAGTGTCATTTTATTATATGTAATTCACCTGTCAAAACAACAGATTAACAAATTCCTTAGTCTAAAGATGATTTTTAAGAGGGAAATGGAATTCATATCACCTCTTTATTATGAGCAATATTTTAATATAAAAATTTTATATGTAAAAATGCTATTTTAGGTACTTTGCCATTCTCTTTATAAATGTGTATTCAAGTGGCTCTGTGTATTTATTTACACTATTATGTGTGAATATGTTCACCCATATTTCAGGTCACTGCATTTTATTCTCTTAATACAATGTTTTTACAACTGTACCTTGCTTTCCAAAGATAAATGTATTTTGGATTAGAAATCAATTTAGTTGAGTTGTTTTAACTTCTAATAACTTATAAAAAAAGGTATTAATAACTTTTTAAAGCAAGTATTCAAGTAAATAAAATACATATTTTGTTTTGTAACAAAAGCAATTCTGAGTGAGTTCAGGAAGAAAAGACTAATCTGGCTTTTTTGTCAACTTGTCTCCATAGAAATGAAAGCCTCCTCTACTTCTTTAATTATTAGCTTCACACCAGTGACTGATGCATTAGAATTTGGACAGAGTAAGTCAAGCCTCATTTGCAATTCAAATACAATGTCTATCTTCAAATTGAATATGCTGTGAAATTGTTCTGTCTTTGAAAAGTGAGGCTATTTTGTGTACCATTTTGGGTAAAGTTTCAAGAATACTTAAACTGTCTAAATTGTATTATCACCATCATTGAAATTAGTGTTCAAGGAAAGCATTGTGAGGTACTTTCCTAAAGTTTAGAATCTAAAGAGAAATAGAAGAATTGCTTGACAGAAGAAAAGCAAAACTCCTAATTAAAAAAAAACTTGAGCCTATGTATTAAGAGAATGTTCTCGCAAGTTACCTATGATGTTTCCAAAGAGTTTTTATCTAGCAGATTGTCTCAAATGGCTAGATAAGTTTTAGTAATGTATTAGAGTACAAACGTTACAATGCAGAATTAAAATGGGCTCTAAATTCTATTTTTAACTTGTGTTTAGAATGTATTTATGAGGTAGATCCTTTGCTTGAAAGTATCTACAGAAAAGCCCAGTAACTTGGCAGCTTCATGCATAAAGCTATAAATGACATTTGCCTTAAATTTGGCAGCCTACCATGGCTTGGGTTAGATTTTATTCTTGAACACAAAAAGTATTTAGCTAAGCAAAGAAACACTTCAGTTTAGTTGAAAACAACTTTTTGTAATGCTAAAGTATTAAATTGGCTTGAGAGTATTAATTGATATTCATTGATTTTGTTTTTCTTTTTAAGTATAACATTACTTTTTGGAGGGAATTTTTGGAAAGATGCTTTCAGTTTCTCATTCTTTGAATCATGAAAAATGAATTTAAAATCCAGGGAGTATGGATATACATTGCCTTAGTTTTGATGAGCTTTAAATTAAATGTGTGCAATATCAAAATATTTGAACTTACAAGTTGGGTAAATAACATTTCCTGATTATGCCAGTATCTTAGTGCTTAATTGTTCCCACATTTTCAAATTTTGACTTACTCTTTTTTGGCATAATTCAGTAAGAATGATAAGAAAATGTAATTGCAAGCCAGCCAGTGTGTTTGCACACATTTGGGTTTGTGTTTAGATGAGTTAGGGGCAGTCATAAAAGTTTGGGATATGTTGCCTTTAATATCAGTAGTAGCATATTTCCAGAATATGAGCCATAAGTTGCAATCTTGAATACAACAGTGTTATCCAAAGAAAGGAGTTTTCTGACAAATATGTAGCTTTACTAATGAGGATGGAACAATTGGGTGAGAGTGTGCATGTACTGAGGTCTTAAGTGAGGACTCTGATTTATTCCATTTAGATATTTCTACTTAAGCTCTTCAAAGGAGAGGTGCTCTTAAAATTTTGCGGTGCTGGTACTCACACTACTTTATTTGGATGAGTTTCTAGTAAAACATTCCTGTTGAAGTATTTTGCACAGCAGTTTATCCAAATATTTGGTAAACTTAGAATTTAGTCCTGTGTTTGTTTTCTTAATCAAATATGCAATTATTATGTAAGCAAATATAAGTATCAGGTACAGAGTTGAGTTCCATCAGAACATGCAACATCACAAATACTGGTTTCTGTGCTTGGCTGTTCTCTACAGTTAGTAATTTTTGAGGACGTTTTGAACCAAATCTCATGTACTACTGTTTAAAAAGTGGCAAAACAGACTGCCAGTTGTCCATTACTAAAATTTCAGAGCTTATATGATTAAGGGGAGTGAGGTAAGACTAATCTTTTTCATGTTCAATTTTATAATTAGACAAGTCAAATTGAGTTTAAAAAATAAGAAAAGTGTTTTTGATCACCACACAGGGTTGTTCTCTTTAAAGTTTTAAATCTGTTCAACCGTACAATTAAGCTAAAAATCAATTATGTTTACTTTGGAATTACCATCTTATCCTTTGATCCTCATATTAATATCTAAATTAGTCTTTTTTGAAAGGCATGCACTTGAGACTCCAGTAATAGATGATTCCGGCAGCAGAATAGTGTTTTTTTCTGTTACATTGTTTCCTATGCACAATGTTGGAACAAAGACACACTCTTTGTTTTTCAAAATACATGTTCATTTTACCACAAAGTGCCCGTTTTTATATACATTTAAGGATTATTTTTTCAATATCAGTTCATGTTGGAAAGCGATTTCAGAAATATAGTCAAAATATATAGTCAAATATATCTTGACAGGCATCTAGAGATTTTTTTCGGTTTTTTTATTTTACCATATTCTTTACAACTGAAAATGATTTTTTGTTTTCTTTAGTTGTTTATATGTTTTTTACCTTAGTGTTTGCACTGATAAGGCTTGTTGGTCCATTTTTGTTCATTTTCTTAAAGTAAACTTTTAGATATATTTGTTTTATGTTTCCACTTGGGTTTTGTTTTGTTTTGGAAGAATCTGCTTTCATTATTAAATTATGAAATGTAAAATATAAATGCTGTAAACTTAAGTAGGAATTTTTTAAAGAGTAAATTATTTGTGTAGCTTCTTGGGTGGTTCAGGTTACTGACCAAAAGGTGGGTTACATGTACGTGAAAATTTTAAAAGGTACCATGTAAAATTCTTGTATTGTCACTTTTTCTGACTTATGCCAGTTCATTTACTGACAAATGTTGTTACCAAGTACTTATTAAGAAGTTTAATACTCTGCACAAACATTTTATTACTTTTTGTTCAGATGTAAAGTAAAGATAATTATGTTGTTTCAGTGTATGATTGTATTGTTAACATTAGATTGGTAAGAGTAATTATTTGAGGAAATTTGTGGTGAAAATTAGTAAGAGATAAAACTCTCAACACCGTTTATTCTTACCGGGTAAAATTTTGTGGTCATGGGGTAGGGTAGAGTTTAGTAACCAGAATAATAGAGCCCACACACAAAATAAAAATAACTTGGAGGAGGGCTAATGCTTGCATCTCAGTATTTTTATTTCACTTCATCCTTTCATAATTGACCTTGTTATGATGCAGTCTAGCCTATTAAGTAACTTCCAGCTATGGTACCATTGATATGAACCATATTATAGCAAGTCTCCAAAATACCTAGTTTGTAACATACACTTTCCCTGTTATTTTTAGTTTGAGTCCACATTACTAATACATTTTAATAATATTTAATTATTTCACAATTTTAGGTTTACCAAAGTAAACAAAAAATCATGAAGATAAGTATTGCCCTCCCCAAAAAGGTTTAAAGATTAGTTGAACTTCCCTCCAACTACACCTAAAGCAAAGGGGAATTTTAGTAAGTGTGTGTACCTTGTTTCTTTCAAACACATCTAGAATGTGTTTCTTTCACCCTACTACCTCCAAAAGAGGCAGTTTAGAAAGTATTCAGTAGTGACTTTTGTTAAATGCCATTTCGCGTGTGTGTGTGTGTGTGTGTGTGTGTGTGTAAATCTTGCTTTAAAACAGTAGTATATACTATAGTCATTGAACTTAATCTCTCTGGTGTTAGAAATTTACAAAATTGTATTAACACATTAGAAAAAAATGAAGCTGCTGTGGTAACACCAAGTTTGTTTCAAAAAAAGTATTTAGACAATTATTTGGCTGTTATATTTTCTTTGAAAACTGCAATAATTTATATATTTGTATTGCTCTGCTTTAGAACTGTAACTATATATGCTTGTCTACTATTTTTAATTTTACAACAATAAAATAAGTATTTTGTTATCTGCTAGCTTGAGTGGATGTTTTTAAAAGTAGCATTTTTTTAAAAAAATGGTGGGTCGACATGAAGGGTTTTGCTTTGCAGGTTCAGTAAGTCTATACTTAGAATGATCTTCTCTGACAATTTCTTAATTTCTTGTTATAATCTTACCTTATCTCTGATACTTAATATTCTCTCTTTCCCAATACAGATGCAGGAAATAAGATGCCTGGACTTACTAGATGTGTATGCAATTTTTTTAATTGGATTGTAGTTCATACCCAGTAATAAGCACAGGTGTTTAACTGTATTGAGTTTTAACAAATGTATGCAACTGTAGAGCCATCACTCCCTTTGGTTCCCTTCACAGTCAGTTCATTAACCATTTCCTTTCCACTGATGGTTCTGATTTTGTTGTGTTGTTGCCCATGCTGAAGTGCATTGGCGCAATTTCCACTCACTGCAGCCTCCACCTCCCAGGTTCAAGCGATTCTCCTGCATCAGCCTCCCAAGTAGCTGGGGTAACAGGTGCATACCACCATGCCTGGCTAATTTCTGCATTTTTAGTAGATATGGGGTTTTGCCATGTTGGCCAGGCTGGTATCAAACTCCTGACCTCAGCTCATCTGCCTGCCTTGGCCTCCCAGAATGCTGGGATTACAGGCATGAGCCACTGCACCCAGCGTGATTCATTTTTATGACTGTA